GAAGAGCCAAGCTCTGTCAATCAATGCAATTCGGATGAGGCTTCTTCGTCGGTGGATTGGAGAAAAGAGGAGGAAAATCAGGCTTAAGGTAACCAAACAACCACCTGTCTGTGAATGGCTGGCTCCCCAAGGATGCGAGACTAATAAGGGATTGGAAACGTCGAACATTCGAAATGGAGTGGTTAGAATTTCCAAGGAAATGGTACCATCACGACGAGAGTAACTTGTCTTTGTAGGAAGTTAAGGTGAAGCCAAAGTGAAGCTTTCCAGAAGAACAAATCTTTCAATGTAACGAAAAGAGTATACTCGATTTTCAAAAATTAATCAAGCTTCATACTTAGAAAGGTAGAAGAATTCAACTCTTGTATTGAATCCTTACTTCGATAATTGTTTACAGATATGAAAAAAATATTACCATGTAGATGATTCTCACTGGAATTCACCTGTTGTAACATGATAAGACAAGGATAATAATAAAAACTCGATTAACAGATACTGTTTTGCTTAAAAATTAGTACACACCTTGTAAAATTAATTCCACGTCCCCACAATAAACAGGCCCCATTTATCTGCCATTTTCAGACCGTACTAAAACGTTCGGAATTGCAGATGTTTGTTTCCGAATCAAGGATACTTTCCGACTCGAGTCCCTCTCGGCAAGCTAATCTGCGATCCGCGTGGATGGTCGTGAAGCAGCTGATGCCAATAGTAACGACTCGAAGAGAGCTGAAAGCGACCGAGGGTGAGAGAGCGATAAATTGAGAGTACTCGAGCGAGGCCACTCGAGGTCTCGTCGTCTCTGTAGACACCCCCAAGTATTCGCGAATTTAAACTCGTCCCAAATGGCCCTATGGCCACTCGAATTGCTTTCGAGTTTGCTGACCAAAGGAAAGGTGTATCACGGCAGCGCACACCTCTGCTCGCCTGCCTTTGACAAATTTGAGCAAAAGTAACGGACGCCGGGGCAGGTCTCTGTCCCCCTCGGCGTCCTTCGTCGTCGTTAAATTCTTCGAGGGGGCAAAGAATGAAAGCCTCGTTCCGCGAACAATTTCGCAAATTTGCGAGCGCGTAATGGCATCATCGCTGCATTCTGTCACCGCGGCAATTAAGCGAAATGGTGAGACGTAATGAGATCCTCGGTGAGTGCAAGGGATCCGAATTATTGAAAATTAAATCACGAGGACTCGGGCGAGATGGGGGGAGGATGGTTTCCTTCGCGTGACCCGGTTGGAGCTGCGACTGCAGCCGCGGTGTTCTACAATAATTATCGTGACGTTCGAGTAAATTAATTTACAATCTTCTTCGGAGCGCGAGAGAGGGCTACGACTAACAATTCTAACTCCGTTTATTTTCATTAATCTTCCTTTGCTTCAACTTTAATCGAACTTAATGCAACGATACGACCTCGCGTTTCGGTACGCTTGTTCGGTCCAAATAGGTTGGGGCAAATTAATCGATTGCTGGTACGATGGAAATAGTTGATAGGCGGTTTTCAAAGCAAGCGAAATAATTTTACTTATTTCATAGAATGAGCTTTCGATACTGTGACGTATTTTGATTGTATTAAACGAATTATTTAGATTGTCTGAGAATAAACAGTCTAGATTTTTTTCCTAACACGATCCAATTAGGTTCAGAGCGCATCTAACGCTGCGCTATCGCGTGACGTGAAGTTGAAACGCAGTGACGCAAAATCTGACACGTCGGTAATCAATGTCAAACAGTGGACGAACTCACGGTCCAATTTCAATCGGCGCCATTACTTCGCCGTGTCCAAACTTCGGATTCGAAGTTTCGCGGCATACACCACGTTAACATGCTTAGTTCCAAATTGTAACCTTGTTGTGTACTTAGTCCTGCCAACGTGACGCGTAATATTGTGGGTGTTGACCAGGAAACTATGGCACGCAGACAACGATACGGTACGGCAATATGCGTCGAATCGTTAATTACGACGCAAACCACGTAACGCCTCGACAACAAACCACGGCTGTGGGATTAATAACAATTGAGATTGTACGCTAATTGATCGCGATTGTCGCGGGACGTTACGTCACGTAAAAACTTTAGAAATCACTGTCTAGTTTAAGGTGGAGTTCTGGTCTGGACTTTTGACGAAATTAATTTTTTATTAACAGCGTAGCGTTCACTTGGATGATATTTGTAAACTGAAAATGAAGCTTTATATCCCCATCCTCGTGGAAGGGATTTTAGATACAGATGTGATTTATATAGAGTGGCTTGTCAGTGATGATGCGTTTTATTCACGTACAATGGATTTTATATACACTATATGAACTGTATAAACATATAGTTTTACTAAAAGTCCTTTTTTATTTTTCAGTCTGACTTTTCGGTATGGAAATATAAACAATTCTTAGGAAAAATATAAAATACTTCTTGAAGATGAATACTTTGTGCCAATACGAATCGAAAAGTCCTTTTCCATTTTTCAATCCGACCGTTCGTTACGAAGATATTGGCAGTTAAAGTTCATACGAGCTCGAACGCATGGACCACGTGGAAAGCGCGCGAGCGCTGAACCCTGTACTCCATAGGCGCGAGCGCTGAACCCTGTAGTCTCGTGCGGCAGCGCGCGAGCGCATAGTCTCGTGACTCCGAGCGCGCACGCGCATGTATCACGTGCGGGAGCACGCGTGCGCAACCGAGAGGTAAACAAACCCCGACTACGAGCGGGCCGCGTCGAGAGTCCCAACAGTAAACTTTAATTGCTTATATCTCAATAACGAATGATCGAATCGGAAAACGGTACAGGACTTTTTGATTTCTTCGCTTATGAGCTATAAATCTTAAGAAGTTTTATATTTTTATCATTTCTCTACATGGTAAAATTAAAGGATTATTCTCTTTTTAACCAGTTTTGAAGCGATGTATAAGCAAAAATAAATATATAAAAAATGATTACGCGTTCAGCGTTGATTCTAACCGTCGAGTCGACGATCACTCACCAAATACTAGTGTCATAAACTGCATAGCACGATATAATAATATTCATAGATCAATACTTAAAGTGTGACTTTTGCATCACCACAGTGGTTTATCAGTGATGATAATGATATGGATCTTGTTGATAAGGTATCGAAGGAAAAGCCAGGAATACTGAGTTTTTTCACGTTTTTATGTTATAGATTCACCTTGGCCCGAGAGAGTAAATTGTATCTTAAGGTTCAAATCACTTTAACGGAAAGGTGCTAATTTCTGGTGTTCCGCGGAATAATCTAATCTCGTTAAGTACTTAGCGGCGCTGATATGACGTGTAATCTCGTGGTCATTGTCCACATTAGCGAGAGGGACCGGTGGCAAGGGTGTCCAGAGTTATCAGCAGTAACAGGCGAAATGCGGCATACAGAGAGCAGTGCAACCGACACAGTTTCAGATGCAACGGACTAATCTCCTCTATGTGGAAGCATTATACTGAGCGAACCGAATAGAACAATCTGGCTTCGAAGTAACTCCCGCACTTTCCATGCTCACCACCGGAAATGAAAGTACGCTTCGGAGTTTTAAAAGCGCTTCGACGATACTTAAGCCCGCGACGTCCATATTTGCATACCCAAGTTCCTGATTCGCTATTAATGTCCAGAATCAGAATTCAGAATAAAACGGATATTAAAAAGAATGCGAATGTCACTATATAGTCACGGTGTCTTTCGTTTTCAGAATTCTCAAGTGAAACGTCAAAGGTCCAAATCAAGCAAAATAAATGATTAAATATTAAATTGCATTTCTGCGGAAGAATTGAACCCTAATTTTTTTTAATATTAAAAAGTTAATATTACAATTATCTACTGTTTATGTAATTAAACAGTTCTTAAATTATTTTATATCGACACCAGAGACCGTCACAAATAATATCCCTGAATATTATCGTCCAGAGGAATTTATCGAACAGCTCGAGTTCCATTTTCAAACATCCCTTTCGTTATCAGAATTCCGATAAAGGCCAACTGCAATGTTGGCGAAACGTCAGGAGTATTTTCCGAAACGACGCGGCTTATACTCAGAGGTCTTTAACCGTTTTAACTGCTAGAACACAGCTTGCGGAAGCCCCGAGGATCTCTTTCTCGAATTAGATACATTCAGGGACGTGGCCGCGATGACCCTGGCACACTTAGTACTTAGTTTACACCGAATCTACTGTACTCAAAGATCCAACTACCAACTCGCTCAATATTGACAACAAAATTTTGCCGAAATCTTATACTAATATTTCTTTTGTAGCAATAGCTTTGCTTCTCCCTTTCGCATCGTTTACGACTCTCCATAGACTTCTGAAATAATTACCTAATTAATTGCTTCTGGAAAAAGCCTTTCTGTTTTCTGAGGATGTAACCCACACCCATAGAAACATTATTTCTTGCAAGTGGCAAAAGTGGCCCTTTTTCGACATTGCCAACCGAATAATTCATTCGCGGAAAGGTAAGAAGATGGAAATGTCTCCCGCGAAGGGAACTCGCGGCGGAGGACACGCAAAAGATCACAGGATTGTTGTCACAGAGAGGGCCAGATTTCGAATCCTAGGAGAAAACAAGGCCCGGAGAGTAGCTGCCTTTTTCCACGGATTCCACAAAGGCTCCGTCAAAATTTCAGACGAGCCTCGCCTCGCTCCGAGGGGATTCGAACAGCATGAATCGCGGCTGCAAGAGCGCTTTATACCGAATAACAATGGCGGGAGAAACGTTCGAGAGGCAGCGTGCCAGTTCCGATAAATAAGATGAGATTGAGGTGAAGCACGGTGAATGGGATGAGGCGTCCTTCCTTTGAATCCCCCACGAATCGTAGGAATTTTTCGGATTTTTCGAACCCCCTCGGAAACACCGACGCGATACCGACGCGACGCCTTCGACGATATAAAGCGAGTATTTCGTCCGTAGCTATGTTCCGACGAATCTCCGTTATGAATCCTCGCAATCTTGGGAAATATTTAATAACACTACCCCCACCTAGCTGTTGGATTCGCGAAAAATGTTAACGCTTACCCAGCAACGCCTGGAAGAGTCTGCTTTTGAAGATACGGATGACACGCTCGATGGCCAATCGCAGCTGTTTGTCCTGGGGCCTCGTCAGCTTGGCGTGGTAATCTTCCAGCAGCTCCAGAGCCCTGTGAGCCTCTGAAAGTAAAATAACGAGAGAGTTAGAAAAACGTTTGTGCACAGTAAATCTACATTAAGCCCAGTAGTATTTGTGTAACGAATAACGTAATTAATTCTTAAGCATAGATAATTTCCAAGGTTCGCGGAAATGTTAATAATTACTTAAAAGAACCGGCGCACTCTGACCCTAATAAATTAACAACAATGTCTCTCAATAATACAAGGGATGATCCTCTACTAGCACAGAAATATTAGCAAATACGAAAAAGAATGTAAACTCGCGTGCACGATAATCTGACAAATTAAAAGTACGACCACCGAGAGATGAACCTGCATATGAATAAAGGAAGAAAAAAATGAGGTTAATCCACATTGTAATGATACAACAGGACGGAAAGAATAATCGTCGGAAAACGACGGTGAGAAAGGACCCCTTTGCAATTCTAATATGCAATTTTTGTACAAACCAGAAGAATCTCGGAAACGGTGAAGTAATTATTTCGAAGAACAAGTACGAATTTCGCGTGTCACATAATGACAAAAATACATAGCAAAGGCGCACAGTTGCAGAAATACTAACATCTGTCGTGCGACATCCATTAGAATGCAAACCGTACGTTTGTCTTCGCGAGGAGACAAAAGTTATGCAACACAAAGAAAGAAGTAACGAGAACGCACATAAAATTTCGGGAAACAAAGGGCACGTAGGTTGGACTGGTGCACGCGATTTTTAGCGTTACGGGTGAATTTATTTTATGGAACAAAGGTAATAACGAGCAGCCCTTGCGACGAGAATTCTCGTTTCGATGAGGATTAAATTTCGATAACACGCAGTCTGCAAGTAGAAAATAAATTGTATTATATTGTTAACAATCTCCGTTGCCGTAATATGCCCTTTAAGTAATTGACATGTTTTGGTGAACATTTGAATCGTTAAATTGTAATATTGATATGAGATTTCACGAATCAACTTCATTCCACGAATTTTATTATATAATCCTATGAACAAACGGAACTGGAATATGAATATTCTTAAATTAATTTAATAAAGAGTTTTGCTTTGATATTTGTTACTCGAGTCGTGTCGCGCAAAAAATTTAATCAAATACAATGCCATAAAGAATTACAACGGTTTGGAGGAAAAGTATCTGGAATCCTACATCGAATCGGTGGACATTTTCAAGCTGTTTTCAGGTGATTTCACTGGAATATATTCTGTAGTCTCTTTCCGTGAAATTATTTTAAAAACACTCACTTTTAATATTTTTCGTTCGCTTTATGTCGAGTAAAAAATGTTATTAAATGTAATATTATAAAGAATCGCGCCAATTTAAAGGAAAAGCATCTGAAACGCCACATCGAATCGATGGATATTTTCTAGCCATTTTCACGTCAATTTCTCGTATTGTTCCCAGTAAGAAGCGTCTGCAGTCGACATGTGGAAAGGTAACGGCACTGTCACAAGACCAGACAGAACTACTTTAGAATCTCGTATGCATTCAGTAGAAATCGAATAGGGACAATGGAAGTATCAATGGTCTCTCGAAGAGCTACTGTAAAACTATCGTGAGTGCTCATATAACTATTCCGTTTCTTTAAACCACTCACCGTATCGCATCTTCCAGCTTTGACCAAGAATTCTGAAGCTTACACAGCCCTACGATACACATTTCATGAACTTCTACCTTCGACTTTTGTGACCTGCGATAACTCTCGCTAAATTTCACGAATGCAAGAATAACCCCCTCGTTAAACATCCAATAACTGCAAATCGTTTCCTACTTAAAAATTCTGTCCTTTGTGGAGAATCTCCAGCGCAACCGTCCAACGGATTTAAAGGAACTATTGTTGAGAATCTGAAGATCATCTGGGCGATTTCCTTCCGGATAGTTTAAACGGTCGTGGATGAGTGGTCCGAACAGTCGGAGCACTTGTTGATTCGTACTACTTTCTGGGCGAATCCCGAACTTACGGAGTGGATCGATCAGGTCTTAAACGTTCGTACGTTCTCCTTTTGACTTCTTTCTAAAAGGGAGTGACCCCTTTTGTTCGTAACACAATATGGTAAGAGACGGGACGACGGTGCGGGTAGCAAACATCGATATAAATGTCTGATCCGTTAGTAATGCGGATTTCACGACTCTTTCATGTGAGTTCCTTCCAATATAGCAAGAAGTTCGTTCTCCTTCGACGAGTTCCCAATTTCCGAACTCGGAGAGGACGTGAAACATCCCCTGGATTCGAGGTTTGTGTTTCGAATCAGACGCACTTTAAACGCGAAGTATTATTAACCTTTCGACTGCTGCACTCGAGTTTTATTTCCTAAGAAAAGGAAATGGTATATACGCTTTTTATCTTCGGTGAGCAATTCTGTTAAATGTATACTTCTGTATTTAATTTTAAAGTATATTTAGAAAGAAACCATTATTACAAATTACTAATTCAGGAGTGATTACTCGACCTATAAATATTGAACATTGTACAGATATTTACGTACGCTTTACCAATCTATAAAAATTGTTTCAAGTACGATAACTCCCGTGTAAATATACACAAAATATTTTAAGGAAATTATTTGGTTTCTATGTAAACTCAGACGAGGCGAGTGCACCTGTAATTAAAGAGTACTTAAAACTGATAATTTCGAGAACGAGATCTCGTACGAAAGAATTCGAATGCAAGCAGTCACTGCCTTTTTAATGCTACGAATTCTGCTCCTCTGTGCTCCGCGAACTCGATGACCTCTCTTCGAGAAGATATTTATATCGTTAATAAATAACGTCGCTCCAAGATCGTTAATTAAGCTGTTAAACTCGGGAGAGGAATTAAAATTAAGCAATTCAGGGCATAGCCATTAAAATTGCAAGCCGCAATGTTCAAACGCCGCTCAGAAGTCACGTCATTACTGAAAGACGACTTTAACGAGTACCTTGTTAATGACGTTCTTGACGACACGATTACCGAGTTAGGTTGAGGACCCTCGTGTAATGCTTTCGAGGAACGATATTCCAAGGTGGAACGCAATAGATTCGTATCGTATATCACATATTACGTTTCCCTAGTGGTTCAAATAACCGTGTGCATGAGACTCGCTCAACCGGAACAACAATGAAAACGTAAGGAAAAATACCAGGTACTCTTAAATGTGCACTTTTACCAACAATCCTTTGGGAAGTTTATCATTTCCAAGTGCGATCACAAAGAGGTAAATAAATACTACAGAAATATTTAAAGAAAAAATAAAATACAAGAAAAAGTGAAGTGAATACAAACAAAGACGTTAAGGATTTCAAAGTAAAAACCGTTTCACAGAAAACCAGGGAGGATATTTGCAGCGAACTAAAATTACTAGCATTAACCGTTCTATTAAACGAGCATGCTAAGAGGCCAATTACGAGTAAATGCTCTAACTCGAAAGCAACCTGTAGCCTTTACGGGGATAATTGCGAGCATTTCCTTATAAAAAACACTTGAAATTAACAAGTGTACCGAGGAAAGCCGGCTTCATGGCTAAATACTCTCAATAGTCCTCTGAGATGTCCAACGTCAGTTACGTGAATGGACAAAGATCTATACGGATGATGCACGACGGAAAAACTACTTATCGAATAACGAATAAATTTTGTATAAAAATTAAATGATCAAAATTAGTAATAAAATTAATCATCTAAATCTTATACTCTTTAAGACATCAGAGTCACCTTGTATTTGTTTATACTGAACTTGAAATTCCTTGTACAGTGACCTTAATTTGACCTTGCACTGACCTTTGACCTAAAAATTCGCAAAGTGTACGAAGGGAATAGAGTTACCACCTAGTTCGTAAATCGCAAAATGTCGACGCAATAGTTTCTCCTTCAGTTATTCTACATTCTCTAAAGGAAAAGGGAAGATGTTGGCATAACTGCTAACAGAAACGGGAACTGAATAAATAATGCTCAAAGTGGCACTTTGATTTTCAAAGAACTCGTCGTGTGCGCATATAGCGAACCTTTCTTCACATGCGTTCCACTTTCGCGTCGTCCGGAATATACCATAAAACGAGAAAACCACTTTCCATTCGAACGCAAAAAAAAAGTATGACGGGTATGGCTACGCTGTACTCGAATGTATGCGTGTTTCATACCATGTGCGATGCGTTACAGATACACTGTAAAAGTAAACTTCGATTACGTTAGCAGTGAGACGCATCATGCTTTCACAACATCCCTTAAACAGCGAACAGAAATACCTTCAAATTTAAAACCCACACTTTCCGCATATACTTTCGTTCGTCTGACTTTTCAGTCGATATGTAATCATTCTACTTTTCTTTTCTCTTTTTTTTTATTATACCCTTGTTTTGTGTGCTTAAAACTCAGTACGCCATTTCATGAAATTAATTACATTAATGTTTTAACGTGTATGTCTTCGATTAAGTATATAATTTAGAACCTAATTTTATCCTGAACATGAATCTCCAGTTTCTCTTTCCAAGGTGTTCTAAAACTACTATGGCTACAAACGAGCGTGCAGGTACGATAAATAACGATCCTTTTTAGGGGGGTTGAACTTCGAGCACTCTCTACATAAATCTGGCGCATTGAACGCGTGGGTATGTAATGCTGGGAACGTTGCACATATCCCTGATTACGGAATGCTGCTCACAATACCACGATCCAAATTCGCCCAAAACTTGAAGTTGTGTGAATTCTACATGAACCGTCGTTAATCATGAATCAGTAATTCGAGAATTCTCTTAAACAAAGATTCCTATTAACATATTCGCGAACGGCAGATATTTTACGTTTCTAATATCTATTACTGACAAAAATAATAAAATTCGGAAGCTGGATATCACAAATTTGTATTGTTAAGACGAAGATAAAGATTCCGAAATATGTTTTGGAGTATTAATCTTGTAAATATGTAGTGTATCAAATGAAAAAATTTTCATAATTCTTTCATAACCAGGAATAGAATTTGAAGTGACGTGTATTCACGATAGCGGTCGCGAATGTGTTAAGAATGTTAATAGG